GATACCCCAAAGTGTGACACTGTGCTATGCTGAGTACTTTGAACCAAAGGAGACTGGAAGGCTCAGAAGCAAGGTCTCTCTGACCTTCTCCTGCCCTCCTCTCTCACACTCCTTTTTCTCCCTGGATGCAAGCCACAGAAACCGGAATTCCTCTTCCTCAAAGCCAGTCTTAGAAACTAGGACTCCTCTCCCCCAAAGCAACCATAAAACCTAGAAAGGTCACTCTCTTCCTTCTCCCTTGAAGACCCTCCATCCAGAGAAGTCCTGCCCCATAGCCAAGAGGAATAAATACTACACAGAGTGTCCAAGAAGAATCTGAACAGACAGGACTTGCTGGTCCGCTCACCCCCCAGGCTATAGCCATTAGATTACACCCATTTTGTCCAATCACATTCCTTCATAGCTAACTATTCTTCATTACACCTGAGCATAAAAGTAGTTTTCCCCGGGTCTTTGAGTCTTCATTTCTGAAGCCTCCTGTGTCATGTAAAACTGATTAAATTAATATGTTATGTTTTTCTCTTGTTAACTTGTGTTTGTTATAGGAGTGTTAGCCCTTATGATGGCTGAGGAAAGGTATCACACCTTTCCACCCCTAAACTTACAATGCTTTTTGAAGACCTCAATCTGAACAGATGAGGCTACACGGTTGTGTTGTGTCTTACTGCTAATTCCTTTCGTTGCAGCCGTGTTCACACACTGGCTACTCACATACTGCACGCGATGACTCAACATTGCCACGTCCTCTTTTGGCCTCTTTAGTGAGAGCTACTGGCTCAGAAAGGAAGCAGCTGGGATGAGAAGTCTGGGGGAGCGATACTGTCCAGGGAGCCCATTATGTAGGAAGAGGAGTGGAAACAGAAAGCACCCCGCAGGCTAGGTTGCAGACAGGACAGAAAAAAATTACGCAGGTATTATGGCCAGAACAGCCAGTACAAAAGAGCCACTTCACAGCGGAGGAAGCCTGGCTCACGATTTCCCTGGCTCCTGTCTGGCCCCCATACAATTTCTGTAACATCTATGAACCAGGGCCAATAGCAGCTGGTAGTTTCCAGAGTCCTTAGACAGGCTTGGAGGAGAGCTGTCATGAAACTGGAAAAGAAAAGGGCTCTTACAATTCGAGGAAGTTCATGCTGAGTTTGGCACAGAGCCCTGTTGCTGACTTCCTCTGTAACAAAATCCAAAGCAAATTGCTTTGCCTTAATGGGCCGAGCTGTAAAATGGGGGAATGGTGCTCAGCAGCCTGGCAAGGACCGTAGGCACAGAGAAGGTGTTAATTAACGACAAAGTCCTTGTGATAACAAATTATCACGAGAATGCACATCACCACGTTGGCCAGATAAGCACGGAAAAGGCTTTGAAAACTCCTCTCCCCATGGACCTCTGTAGGAAGTCAGTAATTTTTCATGGAAGATTTGGGTCAAAAGGAAATTGACTGCCTTCAGGGCATCAAGCTTCAGTAGAGAAACCAGTATAGGATGCTCAGACCCAGCAGGGAGTTCCAAAGCAAAACCAAACCAGACCTGCAAGCAAATAGACATTTTAGCCACAGGATAAATGCAAAGTACCCAGACTTCAATGGCTCCCTGCAAAACACAGGCAGGAAAACAAAAGCACCTTCCTCATGAGACCCTTGTTATCATTTCCGTGTACCTTCCATAGTCTAAAATCCCGGACCCAAATACAAACGAGATCTTTCCTTCGTGAAACCTTTCTCTGCCTGGGTCTCTTCCACTAACTCATTGCTCATGTCTACTTTTTGACAAAAAGTGAGTATATTACACATGTAAAGGAAAATTTAAAAATCTCAGGCACCCCCAAACTCCTCAGGCAAAAGGGAAAGTTAAGCCTGGAGACTGAGTCATGCAACACCCTCTTCCAAACAAATAGCTGTTGCTAGCATTAGGCGTACAACAAGCATTTTAGAGATGCTTGTGACTGCCAGAAAGAGTGATAGGAACAAAAGTTAACACAAATTAGCCTCTACTATGTACGCATCTCTCACTTGGAGATGCATCCTTTTATTTAAATCTTCATCACAGCTTCATGAGATAGTTTTCATTATCCTCTCATGTCGTGGTGGTGTTCTTCTTAACAGATGTGGAGATGCAGCCTGTAAGAGGCCTAACTGAGGATTACAGCAGACTCAGACTCAAGCCCTGTGCTCTTTCTGGCAGGCCAAACTGCCTTTTGACAGTCCTGAGACAAAAGCACTGACTCAAACATCTATAGCCCAGTTTTAAAATAGGTAGACATTTAAAAAAATGTTTTTAAATCACTGTTGTAAAGTCATACACAGTAAAATTCACTCTTTCTGATGTAAAGTTATGGATTTAGACATATGCATACTCACATAACTACCACCACAATCAAGAGAGAGAATACATCTATCATCCCGCCCCCAACTTCCATACCCCAAATTCCTTCCTGTTGCTCTTGGAATGAGTCCCTTCCCCTTTCCCAGCAACAGCTGATCTCTTTTGTGACCCCATAATTTTGCCCTTCTCAGAAAACATCATCTTAAAATCCATGGCACTCATGAATTCAAAGAACGGCTGCCCTCTCTGTGAACAAAAACCCACCACTGCGATACGGGCACAGGGAAATGATAGCGAAAGCCAGCAAAAGCTATAAGGTCCCCTCTAAAGCACCCACTCTCCCCTAAGACGGCAACAAATAAATATAGGACATCCTCAGCATTTCAGTTGGTGGAGAGGATCTGGGAGGCTTTCTGGGGGACCCCTGGAGCACCCAAACAGCAGCCACCACAGGACCTAGGATAAGGTTCCACTCTTTATTCATCCTTGACCCCAAGCTTCCTATTTTTCAACAAATATAGCTCTGTGTTCTTATAGCCAGATAGTGAAATTGACAGGTGCTTATAATCTTATGCAGGAAAATGAATCCTCCTATGCCTGGGAAAGTCTGTCCTCAGAGAGCCTAGAGGGCTCAGGGCTCAGTGGGAAGGGCGGAGAAGCGGGGAGAGAGGGAGGAAGAGAGTGATGGGGTTCAGAATGCACTACCCCAAAATATGGCACCTTGGCATTTGAGGAACAGCAGAAGCAGGAGTCTCTCTGACCTTCTACAGCCATTCTCTCCTGAAGCAGGCCATAGATAATTCTCTGACCTTCCTCTAACCATCGCTGACCACCCTCATCCTTAAAGTGTACAACCTATACCCAAAGGAAAGGAGTGTCCTTATCTCTGAAGACACAGGGATGCAGTGAAGAATCTGAGCAAACAGGCCTTGCTAAGCTCCCCGCAGTTTATTGCCATTAGATCCTATTCCTTTTGTCCAATTATACTTCTCCACATCTGTCTGCTATTCTTCAAACTTAAGCATAAAAATACACTGGTTTCTGTTGCTTTGGGTCTTCATTTCTGCAGCCTCCTGTGTCATGTAAATTTTATATAAAGCAAATTTGCACATTTTTCTCTTGTTACTCTGTCTGCATAGGGGCCTCAGCTGAGAACCTTTAGATGCATAAAGGAAAGATAATGATTTTTCTCCCCTACAGGAGTAAGGGATCTCTGCTGAATCAGTCCTGGCCTCCAGCAGAATCAATGACCCATGGACTCCATCACATACCTGGCATGGCTTCTGACTGCCCCACACTGAGCTCCTCCCGGAAGCTCACTTTGAAAAGCCAGCCACACCTTCAAAGACTCATTTCCGGAGCCTGCAGTTTCTTCCACCCGGGAATAAACCCTTGCTTAGGTGGCACTTCCCTCCATCCCAGAATATTCTTTCAAACCATCCACCTGCAGCACGTGGTAACTTTTCAACACCTCTACCCAGAGCACTGGAAACCAGGCTTTGCTGGAGGATTCCACCTGCAGCAACTGGGTTAACAAAAGAGGTCAGATGTCTATAAATTATAGTAGAGCCTGTGATTGGGCCAGCAAGGATGCAGAGTGACAATGGTTGCTTTCTTATAAGACCATGGAATCCAAATATAGGATCAAGGATCAATTTTCCAAGCAGTCCAGAGGCAGTGACTAAGAACACAAATGTCTGCTCTTTGAAGGTCATGGTCCTGCAGAAGGGATGTGAGGCTGCCAGGGCTGGCCTGGGGAGGTAACAATTTCCTCACCCACCAGTGGTGAGTCCTGGCAAAGACCCAGGGAGGAAGCACAGCTAACATCTAACATCAACCATGAGACTTGAAGGCCATGTGTCACGTTCCTCCAGCCTCTCTATGCTATTTCCTTTTCACACTCAGAACACCTGGGAACCTGGGCCAACAAAGAGCTCTGAAGACTCAGGTCATGGCACTGAAATCAGGAAAAACTTCCCAGGGCCTTTTTATGGAAAAGACTCTTGTTACGGCGGGAGGAGGAAAGTGAGAAGAGGAAGGGGAAGGGAGAGAGGAAAGAGGGGAGAGAAAAGTAAAGTTAAATAAAACCATATTTTAATTTCTAATACATATATCTCAGGCCAAACTTTAGTTGTGTTTATGAAAGAAGAACATTATAAATATTCATTACGATCTGGTTTTGGTAAAAACAATTAATGGGATAAATACATATATTTGAATGTTTCATTCAAATAAATAATAATATATTGTAATATATAGATTCTAAATATATAATTAAATATCATATGATATATGGTATATAATGTATAGTATATATGTCAAATATCATGTATGGCATATATAATCTATAGTGTATATGATAACTATGTTATATATGACATATATAATGTATGCTATATATGGTAATTCTATATTAGACTGCATATTCTAATTCTAGCCACTAAATTAGAATGAAAATGGAACTAAATATGCCAAAAGTTGGGTTTTTTTGCTCTTCTATATTTCAAACTTTGACAAAAATTCTACATTATTTTGTAATCATATTGAAGCTACTGAAACTTTTAAAAGTTTATATGCTCAATGGGAAGCCCTCCCAATATATATTGTTCCCATTTGGAGCCTGGTCCCAAAGCACCCGTTAGAATAGGGGTCCCCTCTAGAGACCATGTGGAAAGGACAGACCTCTTTCTGTTCGCCTCCAGCACAGTACAGAGAGGGGATGAGGTGAGCCTTCCATTCTTCCAATGCCTGCAAAGGGGTCTTCCTTTTATCCTCGGAGTGGAGCCTGGGGGTAATGGGAGAAGCAGCTATACAAACAGCTCCCTCTAAGGCATCCATCTGCCTCTCATCTTCTACAGACAGGCTTCCCCTGGCTTCCTGGAGTTGTAGGCTCTGCATAAGCAATCGACAAGCTTCCAAGTCAGCTTCCCACACTTTCCCAAGCAGTGGACACTTGCAGCTGAGACAGAGAGGAAACAAAGGCATAAAAATAAACTCAGTGATGTTTCATCATACCAGGTCAATAGCTTGTCTACCAGGCTAAAAGTCAGCCAGTCATCTTATACTTGATGACTTAATTTCACAGTGATAAATTACTTCAACTAGAAGACGTATCAGAGGGACCACATTTGTACACCATCAAGTCACCATGAAACGTATTGGTCCTTAGCTGCTTGGTCTGCAAAGGCATCCAAAATCCTATGTATTTTTCCAGACTCAGCAGCCCAATACAACACAGTTTCTGCTCATATCTGTGTTTCCAGCCCTACTGTCTTGCTTTGAATCCTCAGACCTGTCCAACTCTTCCAGGCTAGATCATCTCTCTCCGTCTATTCCCCACCAACACACATACACCCAGGCCTTCATCTGACTAAATCATATTATCTTCAGAACTCGGCTTAAATAACCTTTTTGGGAGAAACATTCCCTGCCTTCCAACTGGAAAATATGATGGATCTCTTAGCATTTTTTACTTTTATTTCAGAATATTTATCACAATTCTAATTATTTATGTGATTATTGTTTTGTTTTACCTGAGGGCAGGGCTTGTAACTATGTTGTTCTCCACTCTATTGCTAGACTCTTTGTGTTAGTCTGTTTTCATTCTGCTAAAAAGAACTGCCCAAGACTGGTTAATTTATAAAGGAAAGAGGTTTAATTGACTCGCAGTTCAGCGTGGCTGGGGAGGCCTCAGGAAACTGACAATCATGGCAGAAGGTGAAGGGGAAGCCAGGCACCTTCCTCACATGGTGCCAGGAAGGAGAATTGCAGAACGAAGTGGGAAGAGCCCCTTTTAAAACCACCAGATCTCATGAGAACTCACTATCCTGGGAACAGCACTGGGGAAACTGCCCCCATGATTCAATTACCTACACCTAGTCTCTCCCTTGACATTTGGGGACTATGGGGATTACAATTCAAGATGAAATTTGGGTGGGGACACAAAGCCTAACAATATCATTTCACCCCGGCCCCTCTCAAATCTCATGTCCCTTTCAAATTTCAAAACCAATCATGCTTTTCCAACAGTACCCCAAAGTCTTAATTCATTCTAGCATTAGCCCAAAATTCCAAGTCCAAAGTCTAATCTGAGACAAGGTAAGTCTCTTCCACCTAGGAGCCTGTAAAATCAAAAGCAAGTTAGTTACTTCCAAGATACAATGGGGGTACAGGCATTGGATAAATGCTCCATCCCAAATGGGAGAAATTGGCCAAAGCAAAGGGGTTACAGGCCCCATGCAACTCCAAATTCCATCCAAGCAGTCAAATCTTAAAGATCTGAAATGATCTCCTTTGACTCCATGTCTCACAACCAGGTCATACTGATGCAAGAAATGGGTTCCCATGGTCTTGGACAGCTCCACCCCTATGGTTTTTCTGGGTAAAGTCCCCCTCCTGGCTGCTTTCACAGGTTGGCATTGAGTGTCTGCAGCTTTTCCAGGTGCATGGTGCAAGCTATCAGTGGATCTACCATTCTGGGGTCTGGAGGATGGTGGCCTTCTTCTCACAGCTCCACTAGGCAGTGCCCCAGTGGGGACTCTGTCTGTGGGCTTTGACCCCACATTTCCCTTCCACACTGCTCTAACAGAGGTTCTCCATGAGTGCTCCACCCCTGCAGCAAACTTCTGCCTGGAAATTCAGGCATTTCCGTACATCCTCTGAAATCCAGGCAGAGGTCCTCAAACTTCAATTCTTGACTTCTGTGCACCCACAGGTCCAACACCACATGTAAGCCTCCAAGGCTTGGGGCTTGCACCCTCTGAAGCAACAGCCTGAGCTGTACATTGGCCCCTTTTAGCCATGGCTGGGACACAGGGTACCAAGTCCTGAGACTTCACAAAGCTGCAAGGCCCTGGGCCCAGTCCACAAAACCATTTTTTCCTCCTAGGTCACCAGGCCTGTGATGGGAGGGGCTGCCATGAAGACCTCTGACATGCCTTGGAGACATTTTCTTCATTGTTTTGGGGATTAACATTTGGCTGCTTGTTACATATGCAAATTTCTGCAGCCAGCTTGAATTTCTCCTCAGAAAATGGAATTTTCTTTTCTATTGCATCATTAGGCTGTGAATTTTCTAAAATTTTATGCCTTGCTTCCCTTTTAAACATAAGTTCCAATTACAAATCATCTCTTTGTGAAAGCATAAAAATGAATTCTTTTAAGAGCACCCAAGTCACCTCTTGAATGCTTTGCTGCTTAGAAATTTCTTCCACCCTAAATCACCTCTCTCAAGTTCAAAGTTCCAGAGATCTCTAGGGCTGGGGCAAAATGCTGCCCATCTCTTTTCTAAAACATAACAATTGCTCCAGTTCCCAACAAGTTCCTCATCTCCATCTGATACTACTTCAGCCTGGACTTCATTATCCATATCACTATCAGCATTTTGGTCAAAGCCATTCAACAAGTCTCTAGGAAGTTACAAACTTTCCCACATCTTCCTGTCTTCTTCTGAGTCCTCCAAACTGTTCCAACCTCTGCCTGTTACCCAGTTCCAAGTCTCTTTCACATTTTTGGGTATCTTTAGGGCATCTTCAACATGGATCATGAACTCAAATACATAGCATGCCCAGCATGCAATGTAAATGTGTGGTGCAGAGAAGGGATGATATAAGCCATGACAACTAATATTCAGCCTCATTGGTAGAAGATAATAGAAAGGAGTGACTCTGGCTAGTTGGGAGTGCATATCCCTGTATACGGAGCACATCATCAACTCATCAACTCAGGCACACTGAAATTATGAGGGATATAAATTCAATGTTGACAAAAATTTTGACTTTTTTTGGAAAACCAAAAATCAGGAATTTTCAATGAAAATATATATTTTCATCCATCCAGACAGCTTCATGCCAGATATTTTCCACAGACCTATCTTCCATTTAATAACCCTTCCTTCTACTGTCTTGAATCTGCTATTCAATCTACTATTGTGTTCTAAGTTTCAGTTACTTTTAATTTGATTTTCTTTTATATATTCCAGTTCTCTGTCAAAATTCTCCATCATGTTCCCTATTTTCTTGGACATATTAATTAACATTCTCCCAAAGCCCATGTCCATAAATGATGAGATCAGAAGGATAAAGAAGGAATTAGGCAGAAGTAATATTGGAAGAGATTATCAGCTGAAAATACCATGTGTTGACAAACAACATCACACCACACATTTAAGAAGCACTACAACTCAAAATAGGAAAAGATCAAAGAAAACACACACCTAGGCCCATCATAATGAAATTTCTAAACATCAAAGACAGAACAAAACTCTTAAAAGCAGTGAGAGAAAAGAAAGGCATCTTAACTTCAAATGAACAAAAATATGGATGACAGAAACAGTGAAAGCTAGGAGACAATAAAACATCTTTAAAATGCTGAAAGAAATTAACTGGCAATCTAGAACTATGCAATCATTTTTAATTTTCTTCAAAAATAAAAGTTAAATAAGCTTGGCATGGTGGCTCATAATGGGAGAGGCATAATGGGACTTCTCATGTACAAGAAGCATTTTATTTCTTGATGGTGATGATTCCATGAGTTCATTTTGTGAAAAATCATCAAGCAGTACATTCATGATGTGTGTATTTTATGTCCATGCCAATATAAAATAACAAAAAGAGAAAGAAAATATAATAAGAAAAGAAGGAAGGAAGGAAGGAAGGAAGGAAGGAAGGAAGGAAGGAAGGAAGGAAGGAAGGAAAGAAGGATGGAAGGAAAGAAGGGAAGTAGGAAGGAAGGGAGGAAAGAAGGATGGAAGGAAGGAAAGAAGGATGGAAGGAAGGAAGGGAAGTAGGAAAGAAGGAAGGAAAGGAGGAAGGAAAGAAGGGAGGGAGGGAGGGAGAGAAGGAGGGAGGGAACAGATTTTCTGAGAGATGCACTGGAGCAGCAGTGCAGGAATGGGGTCTGGTCCACACTAGAAACAACAGTCCTTAGTTGGGGGCACTTTGGTATTTTTCGTTTTCCTAATTTTAGCCAATCTAATAGGTAAAAGGTAGGACCTCATTTGAAGTTGCATTTCTCCACTAGGATCATTTCATAGCTACTCAGATTTTCTTCTGTGAATTATCTTTTCATATTCATTGCCTCTATTTATTCCTTTCTTGGGTTCCCTATCCTTTTCCCAAGGGTTTTGTTGGAGGAGACATTTTATTACCATTTCAATATCTTTAACTTTTACACTCTATTCAAGTTTTCCATTTATTCTTCTGTCCATTTTAATATTTTATATCCTTTATATAAATTAATCCTTTTTGAACAAATTCCAAATGTATTGTTACATGTTTGTTCATATTTTTAAAAACTATTTTAAAAATTACTTGTTTGTAGATCTCCTTTTCAGGATGCGTTTTACTTATTCTTTTTCTGATTTATCTTATTCAGTCTTATCAAGGGTTTGCTATCTTACTACTCTTTTCAAAGAACTGATTTTTCCTTTGTTAATCTTCATATTAATCATTTTTCACTATTTCATTGATTTGTTCTTATCTTATATTTCCATTTTCCCCATTTCTTTGGATTTATTATCTTACTTTTTATTAGCTTCTGTTAAACACTTAACTCATTTGTTTTCTTTCTCACATTTTCCTCTTTTGATATTTTAATGTTATAATAAGCATATTTAAAGCTCAATTTTTGTCTGAGTAATACTTTAACCATGTCCAATATATGTTTATTTAAATTTTTAATTATTAAATATATATATATATGTATATGTATTTTTTGAGACAGAGTCTCACTCTGTTGCCCAGGCTGGAGTGCAGTGGCGTGATCTCGGCTCATTGTAACATACAGAAAAATATGGAAAATAATTTAGCAAACAATTGTGGGCCTATCACAAAATCTATCAATTTGAAATATTTTTCTGTAATAGCATTATATATTTTTTTAGAATTTACAGCATTATTGTCCAGCAGATTTTACAGACAGCATTTTTCATTGTCTTTCCTAATGGTTCCCTTGTTAATT